ACACAGGAGGGGAAACGAGAAAATTCTTGAGTTCCTGGAAAGCCGCTTTTGCCTCCTCCCCCCACACAAAATTCCTGTCCTTGTGCAGCAGGTCGGTCAGCGGGCCGGTTATCCCCGCCATATTCGGGATAAACCGCCTGACGTAATTCACGAACCCCAGAAAACTCTGCAGTTCCGTGATATTCGTCGGGGACTTCCACTCATGTATGGTCTTGATTTTTGCCGGGTCGATTTTTATGCCTTCGCGTGATATAACGTGCCCCAAAAACTCCAACTCCTGCTTAAAAAACTCGCACTTAGAGCCCTTGGTGATGAGTCGGTTCTCCTGCAGCCGCTTAGACACTGCATCCAGGTCGCGGAGGTGTTGCTCTCTTGTCTTGCTAAAAATCAGGATATCGTCCAAGTAGACGATGACACATCGGTCTAGAAGATCCCGGAAAACCCTGTTCATGGTGAGTTGAAATGTCGAAGGCGCGTTCGTGAGACCGAAAGGCATCACTGTAAATTCGTAACTCCCGTAGCGTGTGCGAAACGCAGTCTTGTGACAGTCGTCGGCGAAGACTCGAATCTGGTGGTAACCGCCACGTCAGTCAATCTTCGAGAAATAGCGAGCGCCGCGAAGTTGGTCGAGGAGGTCGTCGGTGCGTGGGATTGGGTAGCGGGACTTGATGGTGACCCGGTTCAGCGCGCGATAGTCGATGCACATGCGAAGCCCGCCGTCCTTCTTCGGAGTGAACAGGATCGGTGCTGCGAAGGGAGATGTGCTGGCCCGAATGAACCCTTTCTCCAACAGTGCATCAATTTGACTTCGCAGCTCCTCGAGTTCCGGCTGGGTCAACCGCCACTGTGTCCGAACAGTCGGCTGCGCGCCAGGTTCCAGCTGGATTTTGTGGTCCTCGGGTCTCTCGGGTGGCAGTCCAGGTGGCAGATCGTCGGGGAAAATGTCGGGGTACCTCCGAATCAGCTCCGATAAATCCGGTGGTACAGCTGCACACAGCTTCGCGATGTCCTTTCCGTCGGTGTCAACCGCCAACTCGCGTAAGCAGACAGCGAACAGCTGCGCGCCCCTGTTGAAGTGGCGAGCTATAGTGACAGCTTTGACGCACGGGGCTTGGATGTAGTCAGGTGTCCATGCAGGCAACTTAATTAGCCCCTCGTGCTTGTTGATGCTGCACGATCCCGTTGTCCAGTCGATGACGGGGTTGTGCCGTCGCAGCCAATCACGTCATAGCAGTACGTCGCAGCCGTCCAGTGTTGTCGCGAGGAACTTCATGCTGAAGCCGAAATCGTCGCCGCAGTCGATCCTGACCGTCCGTGTTTCTTCCGTTATCGCCAGAGGCGTCCCATCCACGAGGCGGGCGTCAATTTCGGGCAGACACCTGTCAAGTTGCAGCTTGCATTTTTTTGCGCTCGCCAAGTTGAAGAGGCTATGGCTGGCCCCTCCATCGACGAACATTTTCAAGTTATTTTTTAACACCTTGCCAGCGACCAGCACAAGGTGATCCACATGTGTATCCCCGTTATTCGGCCGAGTGCGATCGATTGCATGAATCGGAACCACGACTCGGTGGGGATGGTGGGGTTCGGGCGACGGAGCATAGTCAGTAAAGGGCCCGTTAGTTACTGACTCTTCCCATTTCCCTGCTCCTTCCTGTCGTTCCCCGTCAGCGGCGTTTTCTCATGGCAGTCTCTCATGTAGTGACCCGTCTTCCCACACCTGAAACACGGACCCTTAGGAGGGCGGTCGGGTGCATGGACGGCGTTGATTGTGGCCCGATGGGCCTGGCCACGAAAGCGGTTTCCATCCCTGGAAGCTGCTCTCGCGTACTACATCAGCGCATCCGTTGACTCCGCCAACCGTACTGCTTCAAGGAATGATGTCGGGCGGCCCCTGCGAACCTCGTACTGGATATATTTATCCAACCGCTCTGCTTCCGACATGTCATCCACTTGGTCGGCGAGGCCCATAAATGACGCCGTGTAGTCTTGGACAGAAGCCATCTGGGACCATGCACGCAGCTTCATGCGAGCTTGCTCCGAGGCGGATACGTGCTCGAAGCGATCTCGTAAGGCTGCGCCCCACTCCTTCCACGTGCGTATCGTGGTCACTCCGAAGATCGGTTCTGCCACTTGATTAGTCACTGTTGAGGTCCCGTCTGCCGCATGCGTCACACCTGTCGGCGTCCCCGTTTCCAAGGTTCGGCGCCACCACTCAAGCGCTGCACCTCGAAGAAGCGAAACCGCGTAATTAATACGCGTGGCGTCGTCATTAACTCATGCTGCAGTGAAGAAGACTTCGACCCCGAACAGCCACCCTTTTACTGTAACCGTCTTGTCCGTAGGATTAAACGGTGGCGAGTTGACGGGCTTGATCTTGATCGTCGTTACTGCAACTGGCGCTGATGCCGCTCGCTGCCTATCCTCCTCTTCGAAGTCACGTGTGAGCGCGTCCAAGGGATTGCTCACCGCTTGACTGTTGCCCTCGCCTTCGTCCTCGGGCGACACCTGACGCGCTTCACCTCGCGTCTGGCGCAGCTCGGCGTTTTCTTCACGCAGTGTTGTCATTTCCGCCATTAACGACTTCATGCTCTCCTGCATTTCTGCCACTTGCGCCATCATCCTGTTAACCTCCTCCTGATCCATGTGCCTAGTGATCTGGTGGGCAATCGGGTATCCGTGGCCTTCAGGCAAGTGAAAACACAAACTATCGGAGTCGGGCAGGATTGAATTAACAATCCCTGCAGCCAACCGTCGTGTAGTCACTAAACTAGCCACACCCTATGCCACCAAACTACCCTCGGAAAAGCGGGGTGAACTAGGAAAGTAGCTCTGATACCAGGTGTTATGAGTTGTAAAAGAGAGTGCGCAGGTAAACGAATAACGAGACTGTGATTAACTGATCTGAGAATACAATGAAGGCACAGACTAATGTAGGGGCTAGCCTAGCTAGGAGGGAACCTCGGACGAGCGAGGTTGGGTGCAGGTTTGGCGATTGGGAAATGCCGAAGGCGACGCGAGGAGCCTCCGCAGCGTTGAAATCGGCCGAACGTGCGAAGTCCGAAAATCGGGCTGTACGCGAAGCAGTCAACCCCGATAAAGAATTCGGGAAAATTCCTCACAACAAAGCATAACACGTTACATGTTTCCTGTTACAAACTATCACATATGAACTATATCATGAGCTTCAGGTCAAGATAAAAAAAAATTCATAGATCAACAGGGGCATAAAAAAATTTTAATGTAGCACGTTAACTAAGTTATGGATAAATCTGCTCATTCACCTAATCGATATAGGCCTATTCTTTTAAATCATCTGATTAGCGATACATTCGTAAAACCACCAATCGAAACTCTTATAAACGGGTTCCCATTTGCCTTCTCTGTCACGCAAGGAAGCGCCTCGCCTCAGCAGCACCCAATGGTGCAAGTGACGGCGATACGAAGTGGCGCTGGCGGCGAGCGAATTCGGTTTCCACTTTGACGAAACATTTCTTTCAATCGACGTCTCGGCTCGGACCATGCGGGATTCGCATGCACGTTCCATGAACCCAGCAGGGACAATTGGTCAACCTGCAGGTCAGCAGAAACAGCAAAGCAGCATCTCATGAGCTGAACGTCATCCGAATCGCATGTGCAACCTCGGATTTACCGCGAGCCCCCAGTCCGCCCCAGCCCCCAGGCAGACACCCTGACCTGACTTCCGTCCCGTCAGCACGACGCGTGCTCTGAACTAGGAGCAGCCAATTGCAAGAGGTCTTGCATTCAGCGACTTTCTCAAGCCGCGTTTTCAACATGGTCTTTCGAGGTGGAAGAAAATTCGGTCTTCTTTGTTTCAGTATGGTTTGGTGCGGTAGTGGGGGGCAGGCTCGGATTTGCCATGTCCCCCTAGTTCGGTGAGTCGCTGACTGTACGCTCAGTTCCAGCCCCTTCCAAGGCTGATTCGCGGTTGGTCGGTTCGCAGCTCGTCTGCAAACGGGCAACGCCGTGCCGCGGCGGTTCGCCCCCCCTCCCCAGGTCAGCCATGGCCACGCGGAAGGGAATTTGCGTGCAGCGGCTCAGCTCACCATCACCAGCCAGCCCACCACCGCCCGCCACTAGCCCAAATTCGCTCGGCGCAGTTTGCCGTCACTGAGTTTCATTTCATCTGCCCGACCAACAAGCGGAGGTTGCGCAAGACGCGCTGAGGGGTCATCTGGGAGTCAATAACGCAAAAACGCCAACACATAGCTGGGAAAGGGTTGGATGGCATGGCATCCCACACCCAATAATGCAATTCATCGTCGCCACCGAACGAGAGAATGCTCTGATTGGTCAAGGATAGTCGTGCTCGTTCGCCGAAGAGTACACCGAACGAGAGTACACCGACACATCCCATAACCGTCGCACATCAGTGCCGCCGACCCATAAAACCACGCGATAGGCAGTTTCAACACTCCGTATCGGTTCGCTCCAATAATCCAGTCTCCAGCCCGTCGCATCTTCGTCGCATTCACTCATTCCCAGCACCACATCCGCCCCCACCCCACCCCACCCCTACACCGCCGCAAGAGGCGGTGCCTGCGCGACGGACCAACAAAAGGCACATTTGCAGCGCTGACTTGATTCACTCAACGTGACGCACAACTCAGTCCACCACACGCAAGGTTCTTCTTCGTCCCCCCTCGCACGCCAACAGCGTACCAAGCCAAACACCAGCAACCAGTCAACCAGTTTCGATTTCATCCACACCAGGCCAGGCCAGCTACAACGATCAGGTCGTGGAGCTCTTTGCTTCCTTCTCTCGCAACGCAACTTGTCGCGGACGCTTTTCTCTTTAGGACCCAGAGCGCTGTTAGACGCATATTGTTTTCTTAGCCTAGACGCGTTCGCCCTCAATTTGTTTCTCTAGCGGTAGCATCAGCACCAGAAGCAGCTCAACACAGGCAGTCACAATCCCTGCTCGTCAGAGCTAAAGATTGTCGGGATTCTGCACCGTTCTTTTAGAGTAAAAGATACTCGCGATGACGGTGCCTCTTCCCTCCACTCCTCCGCCCCCTCGGGATTTCCTCACCGAGTACTCTCTAGGCCGTCACCTAGGCAAGGGCGCGTTCGGCGAGGTCTTAGAATGCACGCATAACGCGACAGGTCGCCAGTTCGCCTGCAAGAGAATCGACAAGCGATTAATTACCTCCGAGTCGGACGCCGCGGAAGTTAGAAAGGAGGTCGCGATTCTGCAGCAGCTCACCGCCGCGGGCCCGAGCCGCCACGGCGGAATCGTGCAGCTCGTCGAGGCGCTAGAGGACGGCGGCGCGGTGTACCTTGTTATGGAGCTGTGCGAGGGCGGGGATTTATTCGAGCTGATCAAATCGGATCACGCCGCCGGCATGCCGGAGGACATGGCGCGCGAGATCTTCCGCCAGGTGGCGCTGGCTGTGGCGTACTGCCATGCGCGCGGCGTTCTGCATCGCGACATCAAACCCGAAAACATCCTCTTCACAGGCCCCAACCAGCCCGCACCCGCCGCGGAATTCGGCGCGGAATTCGGCGCGGAATTCGGTGTAGAATCCGTGGCCGCGGAATGCTCGCAGAAAGATTTTGGGGATTCTTCCGCCGCCGAGTGGCGCTGGCGGGTGCGCGTGGCGGACTTCGGGCTTGCGCTCTTCCTTCCGCACGGGCACATGGGGCACGGCATGGCGGGGAGCCGCTTCTACACCGCGCCGGAGATGGTCCGCGGGCGCAAATACGGCAAGCGCGCGGACGTCTGGAGCATGGGGGTGGTGCTTTGCGCCATGCTCACGGGCCGCGTGCCCTTTGCGGGGAAGGACCGCGCGGACGCGGAGGGCCTGCGGAGGTCGATTCTCCGCGGGGCGATCAACTTCTCCGCGCCCGCGTGGGCGCCCGTGAGCGCGGGCGCGCGCGACCTCGTGCGGCGCATGCTGGAGGTGGATCCGCGCAGGCGGCTCAAGGCGGCGGAGGTGCTGCAGCACCCGTGGGTGCTCGGGCTCGAGCTGCCGGATCTCACGGCGGCAGATGCGGCGGCGGATGTGGTTATGTCGGCGGACCCTGCGGGATCAGAGGAGAAGGTTGTTCCAGTGAAAGCGCAAGCGGAAGTGAAGCCCGCGGTAGCGGTAAAGGCGTCGTGTCCTGTGGATTCGAAGGAAGCGGGAGAAGAGGAGAGAGAGAGGACGATGAATGCGAAGGAGAAGGAGTTTCAGCAACAGACGGAGCAGCAAGCGGAGGGTACTACCCAGCGCTCCGCTGCTCCTCCGCCCGTCGCTCCCCCAGCCTTTTCTTCCCCAGCCTTTTCTCCCCGAGCTCCAGCCACTGCCCCACGCGTCGCCTCCCCTCTCCGCTCCGCTGCTTTTCCCATTCGCCCTGCGTCCCCTGCTCGCCCTGTTGGGTCTCCTATTCCCATTCGCCCCATCGCTCAGCCGCCTCTTGGTTCCGCTATAGAGCGATTCAATAAGGTCTGGCAGCAACAGGATCGCCCGCAGCAGCTCCCACCGTGCTACCCATCCACCCCGTCTCCTCCACCACCGGCCTGCACCGCTCTCAAAACCCCCTTTCCTCTTTGCGGAAACGCACCTCCCCTTGCCCCGCAACAACCGCCTAACCTGCCCGCGCCAAATGATTCTCTCTCGGGCTGCCCGTCGTTCAACTCCCCCTGCCCGTCACAGTCCTCCGCGTCCCAGTCCACTCCACCCTCCTCCGCGTCTCGCTCCTCTCCTTCCCGCTCCTCCCCACCTCCTCTCTCCTCCTCTCTCTCCCCATCTCTATCCAACTCCACCGCCACCTCAGCATCGACCTTCACTCAAATAGATGCAGCAGACATGGATGATTGCGGCATGGCGGATGGGGCTGGTGGCTTTGATGGCATGGCGGATGGGGCTGGTGGCTTTGATGGCATGGCGGATGGGGCTGGTGGTTTTGATGGCATGGCTGCGGTTGGTATGGCAGGAGACGCGTCTCTTTCCATTCCGCTGAGCCTCTGCCCGCCGCCCATTGCCGTGTGCCGGAAAAAGAGCCGCAGGGAGGAGTATGAGGAGGCTTTTGTTCCTGGCTCGCCCTGGTTCTCCCCTCGCCCTCTCCCTCTCACCTCCGCCCAGTTGACCCACAAGCAGCAGCAGCTGAAGAGCGGGAGGGAGGAGTGTGAGGAAGCTTCCTCGGCTTTCTCACCCTGGTTCTCCCCTAGGCCTCTTCCGCTTGTCGCTGCCCCGTTTTCACACGAGAAGCACCAGCAGAAGCACCGCTACCATCAGCAACAGCAGCAGCAGCAGCAGCAGCAGCAGCAGCAGCAGGTGCATTGCCCGGTGGGATCATCCCTGTCAGGGGATGAGTTCAGCAACAACAGCACCATGTGTGGAGCCTCCTCGGCTCTCTCCTTCCAAGCAGCTTCCCGCTGCTTCATGGCCTTCAACCCCTGGGGATCTCCGCGTATCCACACCATGCCTGATACCACCACCACTGGAAATACCAGTGGTGTCAGTAACCATGCTCCTGATTCGGGGGTTGAAGTTCCGGCAGAGGGTTTCAAGAAAAGTCCTCTGCAGGCTATGGCAAATGAGAACCAGCCGCCTGTTTGTGTGGGTAGGGAGACCAGGCGCACTTGTGGCTTGGGTAGGTTTTGCTCTTAGGGTACTGGCTTGTTCTGTAATCACTGATTTATTTAACATGATGCTTGTTAGTCTGGATCAACATAAGTCACCACATATAATATTCCAGTTTTATTGTTCAGTTTAGATGTTGGTCTGACCATTTGATCACTTCGGCTCAAACTAATACCTACCTACCACCACTCAAATCCATCCTATATTTAGTGTCTCGGTTTACGTGTAGATCAACGAGTCTGCCTACAGCGGCTTAGCTGCTCGGCAACAGGGAGCTCAGCATGTGGGTTCACTGGATTCCCTGCTCTTCCTAAAACTAGCCGTTGCTCGTGCTGACATTGACGCGGCTCGATCTCCCCCTTCCGTTTTTCACGCTCAGTTGTTGACTTCATGTCAGCGCTCGACTAGGAACCCTTCGTCGTTATACATACTTGGTTCGTCGTAATAGATACTTGGATACTAACGAGGATGCGCCACTGCCGGGCACACTGTCGACCGTTACAGCAGCTTCTGTACTCGTTACAAGCCAATCGACGGCATGATTTCTGCCGCGAATTCGCGAGTGCTGTGGGGTTTGCGAGATCAGCGCATTCCACGGCGGAAAGAGCGGCGGGAATCCCGCTGAGGGCTAATAGTCTATTAGCAGCACCATCACCTCAGCACCGTCGAATCCAGCAGGGGGATACGAACTCGTTCGTGTCAAAGGATTTTAGTTCATCGCGCCGCGCGGGCGAGCATGTCGAGCATGGGAATCCTAGAACCTTCAGTCTCGCGTCGCTCGTGCCGCAGCGAATGGCCGAATCGCCACGATCCGATCACTCGAAATCACCAGCCGCAGTACTACGCGGAAGCGTCGATCCGTCTAGTATTCTCGGCTTCGATACGAGAAGACTCGTTTGTAGCGCCCGTTTACACTCAACGAGTCCAGACGCTGCCGCTCCCCCGACCCCGCGGATCCGCTCCGCCTTCGTTCCTTCCGCCGATCCAACTGCGCCATTCCCCCTCGCGCATGCTCACGCGCATCCAGATTCCCACTCTCACTCATTCTCTCGTTCGCGGCGAAGAATCGACCCTGACTCCCCCTTTCCATTCCATCTGGGCTATAGAGAGCCAATTTCAGAACGGCAGATCCGACAGTTGCGAGCGCGAGCGTGCGGGGCTCTGCGGGTTATCTAGAGCCCTTATCAATCCGGACTCTCCTCTCGCCACCGCCGCCGATCTGCCCCGCGCCGCCACTTCTTCCGCTACTCTTGGTAGTGGGGAGTTAGGCTCTTGGTCTAGTAGCAGCAGCAGCAGCAGTAGCCGCAACCTGAGCGGCGGCGGGGGCGGTGGTGGCGGAGGGTTTCTGGGGTTCTCGTCGCCTTCCAAGAAGTTTCAAGAGAATCGCCTGATTGGGTGGGTGCCCTGCTCCTCGTCGCGTGTGCATGGCTCCGCGCCTGCTCTGACCATGATCCATGATCCATGACCCATGATCCATGACCCATGATCCATGACCCATGACCCATGACCCATGACCCATGATGACCCATGACCCATGACCCATGATCCATGACCCGTGACCCATGATTCTTGATCCATGACCCATGACCCATGATCCATGACCCATGACCCATGATCCATGGCCCATGATTCATGACCCATGACCCATGATCCATGATCCATGATTCATGACCCATGATCCATGACCCATGACCCATGACCCATGACCCATGATCCATGACCCATGACCCATGACCCATGACCCATGACCCGTCAGCTCACTGTCCTTCTCACCTCGCCCTCAGGCCCGCTTGCAACCCCGCCCAACTCCTCTCAAGACCTCCCCGCCCCTCTGCCCCCTCCAGCTACACGCCAGAGCAGGTGTTTGATATGGTGGCCGGGGTGGAGCACTACTCTCACTCCCTACCCTGGGCTGCACGTGCTATGGCACGCACCCCACCGCATGACCTGTGACCCATCACCCCCATCACTCTCTCCCCCCCCACCTCACAGCTACACGCCAGAGCAGGTGTTTGACGTGGTGGCCGGGGTGGAGCGTTATGCCGACTTCCTGCCCTGGTGTGTGGGGTCTCACGTGCTGCTCACCCATGACCTGTGACCCATCACCTCTCCCTCCCGTACCCCTTCCCCCCCAGCTACACGCCAGAGCAGGTGTTTGACGTGGTGGCAGGGGTGGAGCGTTATGCCGACTTCCTCCCATGGTGTGTGGGGTCTCACGTGTTGTGGCGGGCACCCGAAGGCATGGAGGCGGAGCTGGAGATCGGGTTCCACATGCTGCGGGAGAAGTACCTCTCGCGAGTCACCTACAAGCGCCCTCTCTTTGTGACGGTGAGTGTTCTTGTATCACTTAAGAAAGTTACATGGTTACATGGGTGCATTGACCGCATGGAGGCGGAGCTGGAGATCGGGTTCCACATGCTGAGAGAGAAATACCTTTCACGAGTCACCTACAAGCGCCCTCTCTTTGTCACCGTGAGTACCTTTGAGGCGCCTACGAAGAGAGGGCGCTAGTAGTCGACCCGTGAGATGTTGTTAGGAGGGTGCTGGCCCACAGGGAGGCGGAGTCTGGAGATCGGGTTCCGCATGCTGCGAGAGAAGTACCTCTCACGGGTTACTTACAAGCGACCTGTCTTCGTGACGGTGAGCACTAATCTGACTTCCTCCGCTGGTTTGTTGGTTTCCATGTGTTGTGGCGGGCGCCGGATGGCATGGAGGCGGAGCTGGAGACCAGGTTCCACATGCTGCAGGAGAAGTACCTCTCGCGAGTCACCTACAAGCGGCCAGTATTTGTGACGGTGCGTGCTCTTGCATCGCTGAGGGGTCGCTGGTTCGTTGTACCATTTTTGTGGTAGGGACAATGATGGGTGGGATGCGCAGCTGGGGACTGGAGATTGGGTTCCAGATGCTCTGGGAGAAGTACCTCTCTCTAGTTCCACCACTTGGACAACCACTGGGAGTTCGCCCCCTGTCGCCTCCCCGGCTCGGGTCTCTCCTCAATGTGTTCCTGAATGCTCTTCCTCCCTACCCCTTCTTCCCTTCCCTCAGGCGCGTTCAGCGGACACGGGGCTCTTCCACCATTTGGACAACCACTGGGAGTTCGCCTCAATGCTCAGAACCGCCCCGTACCGCACACGACCCCCCTCTCTTACCTTTGCCCTATCAGGCTCGTTCAGCGGACACACCTGACGGGGCAGGTCCAGGGGGGGCCGGGGGTACCGGAGGAACGGGAGCAGGAGGAGGAGAGGGTGCGAGGAAAAGAGGAGGTGGGACCGCAAGACCTCGACAGGGGTACCGGGTGTAGAAGGACACGGACTCATCAAACCGAACGTCACGGGAGTCAAGGAAACGGCGGAGGGGCAGGTGGTAAAACAAAAAATCAGGAAAGTCCACATGGAAATTAAGTAAGACACATGGGATGGCGCGAGCCGAGAGCTTATCCGCAGAGGTTTCGCGGACAAGCGCAACACAGCCCCAGACGTGAAACTCCGATGCAGCACCAGGTGACCAGGTCAAAAGACTGGTCGGTGAATCCCCTGGTCGTGAGACACGAGGCCAGGGGTTTAGCTGGTGGGCGGCGTAGAAAACCACGTAGGGCCACAGAAAATGGGGCGCACTTGCATGGATCATGCAGGTGCAGGCGATCTCCATGACCAAGCCAATGCGGCGCTCAACAACCCCATTCTGCTGTGGGGACTACGAAAACGTCCAGGACCGTGTGATGCCCTCCTCGCCGCAAAACCCGGCAAGTACGTCGGAGCGGAACTCACCCCCATGGTCGGAGTGGAGACAACTGACATGACTACCACGAGTGCCCTCAGTGGCCAGAAGCCACCGGATCAGCGTAGAAGTCACCTCGGACTTTGTACGCGAGAGGAAACACCGTGGTGTACTTGGAGAAGTCGTCAATGACTACGAGGAAGTAGCGCTTCTGCCCGGGCCCAAGACAAGGGACAGGACCCCAGATGTCCAAGTGGAGTGTCTGGAAGGGAGCGGTGGCCGGACAAAGGGAGGAGGAGTGAGGAGTGGCGCGCAGCCGACCCTCGACGCAAGGAGTGCACGGCGGCGCAGGCGAACGGGGGAGCGACTCAAAGACCTGAGACGAGAGAACGGAGACGAGACGCCGGCTAGCCATACTATGGAGGCGTGGGAGGGACGGGTGACCTAGACAGTGGTGCCACAAGACTGTCGGGTGAGAGAGTGACCGACAAGAGCAAGACGCAGCAACCTGACCTGAGGCAACTACCTGACCGGGCGCGGTAACCTGACCAGACGCAGCTACCTGGTGGGGCGGAGTGTGCAGACGAAGAGTGGGGCTCTCTGGTGAACGTGGCAATAACATCCCCGGTGGAAGCGTCCGTACAGATTGCAGCCCTCTCGTGCGTGGGAAAAGTGACGGTGATCCCATGGTCCTGAAGGTATCCAACACCCACCAAGTTCCGAGAGAACGAGGGGATGTAGAGACCAGTGAGGACACCAGAGGGCAGCCGTGCACGGGAGGGTGGTAGAACTGTAAGCGACAGCTGGTCCTGAAGTAGGATCAGCCAGGGCAACTGGGAATGGAGCAACAAGAGGCGTGACAGTGGTGTGGTCGTGGAAGAAGCACTAGGACGCCAGAGTCCAGCGTGAAGGAGAGTGACGCGACAGCAGTCGTCACAGCTGTACTAGTAACTACACAAGCACCTACACTAGAAGCACAAGCACCTACACTAGCAACAAGCAAAGGACCTAAGCTGGGTACACTTAAGTCAAGAGATTCATACGTGACATAATAAACAACATCCATAGACATATAAAACACACAGTAACCACTATGAGACAGATTGGGCCAGATCGGGGGAACCGAGTGAGGCCCAAAACGCTCACGGTAGAGGTCGTCGAGGTGGCTGTAGCAGCGCACTGCAGAGTGGCCAGGATGCCAACAAGTAGTGCTAGCACGAGGGACAGTCAGGATTCGGTACTGGCAGGGTCCAACGTCGCGGCCACCACGACAAGGCCCCCACTGCTGCGAAGGGTGCCACTGCTGCAGAGATTGCCACGGCTGCTGGGGTCCCCACTGCTGAAAATGCTGCTGTCCATGCCGCTGGAAGACCCGAGTGGACGCCATGGTAAAAGGCTAGCAGGGCAACAGGTGCGAGGAACTGCTGGAGCAGGAGTGGCTGGAGCTAGAAACGGCTGGAGGTAGAAACAGCTATGACCGCCAGGCTAGGAACGGATGGCCCGAGGAGCGGCTGGAGCGAGGAGTGACAAGGGACTGTAGGCGGCTAGAGCTAGAATGGCTGGAGCTAGAACGGATGGAGCTGAAACTACTGGAGCTAGAACGGTTGGAGCGAGAACGGTTGGAGCGAGAACGACTGGAGCTAGAACGGCTGGAGCTAGAGACATGAAGTGCGGCTGTCGGTTGCCGCTAGTAGAGCGACTGGCAGTGGAAAGTACGTGCGGCAGTAAGGGCTGTAGTATGGGCAGCTGCGGGATGTAGGCTGCGCATGTCGTCCGGCAGCCAGGAACGCGGGCGACAGTTGTAGGCCCCCACCCTACCCCCCCCCCCCCCCCCCCCCCCCCCCCCCCCCAACGGTTGGAGCGCTGCGGGGCGCATTGCCTACAAGGTATGCTGCCTACGGGGCGCGCTGCCTGCGGGGCGCGCTACCCGCGGGGCGCGCTACCTGCGGGGCACGATACCTGTGGGCACGCTACATGCGGGGCACGATACCTGCGGGGTGCGCTACCTGCGGGGCGCGCGACCTACGTGGCGCAGGTATGCCCCGCAGCCTAAGGCAGAGCGCGGGGCCGCCTAAGGAAGAGCGCGGAGCAGCCTAAGGCAGAGTGCAGGGCAGCCTAAGGCAGAGCGTGAGGCAGCCTAAGGGAGAGAACGGGGCAGCCTAAGGCAGAGAACGGGGCAGCCCAAGGCAGAGCACGGGCGCACGTTTCTCTGCTGGGTGGCGGGTGCTACATAGGCTAGGTGATTACGGAGCGATAAAGTGATTACGGAGTGGTGGAGCGGTACTAGGCTAGGCTAGGCTAGGAGCGTACCTACTCATGATGCCATCTCAAGAATGATGCATAGCAAAATGTGTGAACTAGAAAGTGGATGGGGTACAAATGTGCAAATCTAAGAGCTGTACCCCCTAGAAGGCACCTCACTACAGCCTAACATTGTTATTACACATTATTATTACACTTGCGTCGAGACAATGCAACAACCATGCACTCCTAAAACACATCCATTGGAATGGAACAAAAACATAGGATTGCCAAAACAAAGAACACTCAACGGCAGACATTTAGACACTGTGGACTAGGGTGAGGAAGGCTACAACTATCGCCTGTGATAGGGGAGAGAGTAGCGGTAGACTCAGCAGTGCAGAGTGACACTAGCGACTAATATCAAAGTAGCGAATAGCGGAATGAATAAAGGAGATACAAATACAACCCTAAACATGCTACACTGCCTACTGTGTACCTTACTGTAGCATAGCATAAATATATTTAGTTTGACACACCCTTATAGGCTAAGTGAGGGACAACAAAACATGCAAAAGACAGGCTGTCACAAGACCAGCCAAGGAAGCCAACAAGGCAAAGTAAGTAACGCAGGGCAGTACGATTAGCAAGCCTGCGAGACAAGCAGCCACAAGGCCAGTTCAATAGTTCACATATATTTATATGTATATATATGTATTTATACATATAAACAGCAAAACAAGCCGACCACGTGACAAGCCTAGAACACATGAGGGCCCTGTCAAAGCCAAGATGCGTACCGATCTTTGCAGTGTTGGCCACAGAGGCTACAAAGAGCAGGCATACCTGGCCACGCCGCTTCAGCTCTTGCAGCTGGAAGTACGCAAATCGATATGCTTTACTCTGCCCTCCAGTCGAGGGTCTCGACACAAGAGGATCGCAGCCTTATTGTTAGTAAACAAGGTCGATGTAGAACTGGGCTGCTAACCTAGGTCAATGAGCAAGTAGTTCAACTAGCGAAGCTCCTAAACAGCCATGGCACTGGCACTGGACGAAGCTACACACGACACAGCTAACCGAGTAGACCTCCACGACACAACTCCGAAGGACAAGTTGAAGTAGTACCCTTGAATATACCTGCAGGTTTCCAAGTCGTCAGCGTAGGACGAGTCGAAGTGCCCGGTCAGTACTACTGGCTCTCTCCCTCCAAGCACAAGCCCCATGCCTGATATAGTTTTCAGGTACTTCACTACCCTCACAGCACAAGCCCAATGAACATGGCGGAGTCTCCCAATCAAAACAAAGAGAGCCAGGACGATGAGAGGATACGCGAGGTCCGGATGAGTTCAGGTCATCAGATACATGAGGCAACCTACAAGCCTTGTGTAGGGACCAATAGACTCAAAGGGCTTGTGTGAAAGAGGAACAGTGGGTTTGTGGTCAACTACAAGAGGAGCAGGCTTGTGGTAAAGAATTGAAGCTCGAACCGCTGAAGGACCGGCTGCACAATGTGTGACTGAGTTAGTGTGATGGTGCGAGCGGTTCTGTCCCTGGTGATATGGTAGCGTCGCAGTTCACCAAGGTCAGTGCACATGTGTTTCTTCTGCAGGTCGGAATTCACAAAGCTCAATTCGCGATAACGAAGACCAGGTCGTCGACGTGGACGCGAACAAAGAAGGGCGTGGACCAGAACAGACAAGCATTGAAGGGTCAGCGGATGACGGGCTGAACCTAAGGCCATCAAGAGTGGAGCGAAGGGTGTTGTGCCACTCACAAGGCCTGGTGGAGACCATAATCTGGCCGCCTCAGGCTCCATTGGGTCTTATATGGGAAAGTACTAGTAAAGCCAGGAGGATGGCGTAGCCAGATTTCTTCGTGCAGGTGGGGAAGATGCTCTGGAAGAAGTCAATTCCCTCACGTTGACTGAAGCCTTTCACCACGTATCGCGCCTCGAAGACATGCCACGATCTCAACGGTTGCTTCACCTTTAAGATCCACATGCCACCGACTACGTTCACCCTGGGAGGGGAGACTGCGTCGACGTACGTACCTGTGGACCTCCAAGATGCCATCTTTCAGTCCGTCGACATACGTACCTATGGATCTCCAAGTCGCCATCTCTGAGTCCATGGTCACTATCCACTAAGAGGCCCACTGTCCTGACTCTTCCTCAGTGTAAGTGCGAGGTGTCGGTATGCCAAAGGCGTCAGGGTCTCAGGGGAGAAGCGGTTGCAAGGAACTCGAGTTCAAACTGCCGGTCCTCTAGAACGTCACAACCAGAGGCAGACTCACCCTCGACGGGCAAAGGACAGATAGGAGGTGCAGCCACCTAGCGGGTGGCGTAGCCAAGGCGACGGGTGGTGGCAAAGTCAGTGAGAGTAGCAGAAAGAGCCGAGATAGACAACGGAGAGGCAGTGGTGTTTGTGGCAAGAGATGCAAGAACATGTGAAACTACACGACAAGCAGTATGGTAGTAATCAATGATAGGGTGAGAGGAGGCTATATGAGACGACGCAGGAGGAGACGGGAGAAAATACTGAGGAGGAGACAAGGAGGAGTAGAGCAAAACAAGACAAAATGGAGGTCCTGGACAGGAGACAAGGCATGAGCATTCAGGTGATAATGGGTGGTCCAAGTGTGCGAGACATTTGAAGGAGGTGGCCGTGACCAAGGAGGAGAGAAACAGCTAGGGACGCGTTTGGAGTTGGAAGACCATGAGCAGGAAGAGGTAGTGAGCGCTTCGGAGGAGAGGATGGAAGACCAAGGGGCCAAAGACCACTCAAAAGGTGGGGATAACTGCTGCAAAAGTGGTTGTTGCGGTGCTTGCGGCTGCTGCTGCTGCTGTTGCTGCTGACGCTGCCAATCTTGCAAGACCCTGCGATTGTGCTTATCTCTGTTGGCAACCAAAGAAAGGAGTGGCTATGCACTCAGATGGGCTTGAAGAAGGCGCATGGCTCATCCTTCATGGAAGTGGTTGATCATATCAGGACGGTGAATCACCTGGTACACCTCGAGAAGCTCGGCACCGCCACCAAGCTTGCATTCAAAAAGGCGAGCCTCAGTGCAGTCAAGAAAGAGTACGGGACCTAACATTTGATTGGCTCAGCCAGTTCTCAACAGCAGCAACAGTTGTTCTCTCAGTTGGCGGAGTAGTTGCCTCACTCACTGTGTGGATGCGTAGGGGTCACCAGTTTGCTGTTGAATGATAAATAATAACACCCTTACTTTTGCGGGACTGAACGTGAACGGATTAGGTGACAGAATCAAGCAAGCTCGAGTATTCTATAGGACTATGAAAATGGACGACTTCATACTACTAACAGAGACTAGATTAGCTATCAATCATCCCTACTGCAACCTCAGCATAGACAAGGGCCGATGGTGTCGCAACTCTTTGCAAGAATCCGCACTTTAGCTTCCGTGACGTAGTCGCTCGCCCTTCTGGTAGAATCCTTTAAGCAGGCATTCACGGACATGATTTCAAGATTACGTTACCAGCAATATACTTTCCAGCCGACTCAACATCTAGAAACGCCTTTGTTTCTCACACGCTATGTCCAGTCATAGAAATTATATCGCCTTCGTCTCACCTCCTTATAGCCGGTGACCTGAATCTTGTTGAGAATCCCCTCCTTGACACATTGTCCAGGCACAGATCCTTGTATGAGAACGATTGGCTTTTCCGGCATTGCATCACTTAAAGTTTAGGACGCATTTGGGACCCTGCACCCCAAAAAAGAGAGTTTACTTTCTACTTGAGAGCAAAAGCCGCTAGCTCTAGGATAGATCGCATTCTCCTCTCGCACTCGCTCTTACCTCATTTTGAGAACACCGCTCATGACATGCCGGATGAACCCATCTCGGACCATGACTTCGCCATTAAGATAGGCCTGCGCCTTCACGTCAAAAGCAAGTCTGGTCTGGGCCTCTGGAGGCTACCACCTGCCATGATCAATAGGCCAAGAGTTAAGAAAATCATAGAAGCCACGGTTCAACGGACGTGCGAAAATGACGGGAGCAATTTCGAGCTCCTTACCTATCGTCTTAACGCCGGCCTTTGAGCATAAACTCATGAGGGGAACAAGCGGCTTCGCGCCACAACCTCAAACACTCGCTCTTGTCGTTGCGAAGCTGAGGCAGGAAGCCATGGCAGCCCCCACGGATCTGCACATAAGGATCTACAGGAAGCCAAGTCACGACAGCTCAAGGAATACCACACGCCACGGAGGGATCGTCTTCACCTGTTGGCTGGATCAAAAGAGGAGCTGGTGGGGGGGATTGCCTTGAAGCTCCTGTCGAGCTCGTCCTCCAAGCACGAGCCCCATGCCCGACGTACTGCACAAGTAGCGCATCACCCTCTTAGCGGCCTTCCAGTGCTCTGGTCGGTGTCTCCCGGGCGCAACGTAGCGTGCCAGGATGCTAATAGGGTAAGCAAGGTCAGGTCGAGTGCAGGTCATCAGGTACATGAGGCAGCCCACTAGCTCTGGATACGGGCCACTCCGCTCTACGGACTCATCTGAAGGCAGAGCTGAGAGCGATTGACCGGTAGGCAGAGGAGTGGAGTGTGGCAAGGAGTACTCGAAGCGGAAGCGCTGAAGGACCTGCTGCACCATTTGTGACTGAGTCAAGGTAATGGTGCGCCGTGCTCTGTCCTGCGTGATCTGCAAGCCAAGATAGCTGCGCAGCTCACCTAGGTCTGTGCACGTGTGTCTCTTCTGCAGCTCCGGCTTCACGTGGGCCAGTCCAGCAGTATCAGCAGTGGCAAAGACCAAGTCGTCGACGTACACGAGGATGTAGAACGGCGGCAGGGAAGTGTCGGTGCGTAGAAACAGCG